CACTATGATGCTGTCCAATTTTTGCCTATTTGCATGCAGCGCTGGTGGTTTCAGGATGTGCTGCTAAAATCCTCCCCGCGTCAGGATAGTTGGTACGCGGAGCCAGAAAACATCAGGGAATATAAGCGTGGAGAATTAATTAATTCGATCCCGCCAGGTTGAGAACAAGCTGAAACCACTTCTCCCTCTAGGTGGAAAAATCTCCGTGGACTCGGTACTCCGTATATCAGTATCTACTTTAATTGTCCTGCGCAATTCGGATCCATCGCAACTCCTCGTCTTCCAGGCGGCATATTGCCGCAAACGAAGATTGCAGTCCATCATATATACCCTTCGACCTGGATCCGCTACTGGTGGACTCTTGGGGGTCTTGATGCCCAATAGTACAGTCTCCATAGACGTAGTATTTGTAAGATAATTTTGTCCTTGTTTCTTGTCTTGATCTGGTCGTGGTTGCTTGCGCCAACTATGCCCGCCCGACAATTGCTAGCTAGCCGTCGCGCTGAACCAAGGGTGGTGGGTGATGGTCACCGATTACAAAGGGCTACATTCTCAGCTCGCCGCTGGCCCGCAATCCGGGTATGCCACGCTCGATTCGGTACGCGTGGTCCTCAACGAGGGACGGAAGATTGGATTAGCTGCCGACGTCAGGTACGCGATATGGGGTTATTCTGGAGGCTCATTGGCTGGCGGTTCGGCTGCAGAGTTGCAACCGCCATACGCGCCAGAGTTGCACTTCACGGGGGCCGCCTTGGGCAGTATCATCGTCAATATCACCTCAGTCGTAGAATAGATTAATGGAGGTATATTCTCGGGTCGCTTATTTAGAGGTTTCTACGGTCTTGCCAAGACCTATCAGAATCTCACAGCGTGGATGGATGAGAATGTGCTGCCTGACAAAAGGGCCGAGTTTTTCAAGCATGCTACAAATTGCCAGATCCAGGGAATAGATGGAGCATTCCATGATATTTTCTCCTATTTCATTGATGGCGAGAGGCCCATTTATGAGCCCGTCCCCGCATCCGTGCTTGACTGGTCTGGGCAGATGGGCCGTCGCGGAATGCCGACCATGCCGCTGTTCATGTATAAAGCGTTCGGGGACGAGATAAGCCCTGTTGAAGACACTGACAAGCTGGTACATAAATATTGTAGTAACCGGGCCACCTTTGAGTACTATCGAAATTTGATAGGGGGGCACGTCACTGAAGCCATCATCGGATCTGTAAACGCTTTAGAATGGGTTTCAGATCACCTGGCTGGGAGACCTGTGCGGAATCTGGGATCTTGCAGGACAGAGAATGTACTCATAACAAAGATTTGATCCCTCCGCCCTTTCAACTCTCGGCATGGAATTGTACTCTCTCCTAGGGTCAATTATAGGTTCCAGTTTGGGAACGTCATGAGAACAGTGTTGGTAAGGTGTTATTTTCCATCTCCTTGATATTGTTGCAGTTGGAAAGTCCGGGTTACGCTGCTGAGTCGTAGGTTGATAAAGCACGGGCGGTGCGGTTATTCACTCAAAACCGGGAATTAACTAATATCAGACAGGCATATGAGAAAGCGAGCGTGAAAGGGATTAGTGGGAATAAGAGTTTTGGAGAAACTGCTGGAGAGCAATATTTTCCATGATCTCAAAGGCTGGGAAAGAGCGGCGATGTGCGACTGAGCCAAAGTTATGAAATCAAGTGATAAATAATCTGTTTGCATTCCATATATACTGAAATTAAGAGTTTTAGCCCATGCATTCAAACATGGCATTAAACCAGTCCACATGAGAAATAAATGCCTTATTTGTTAAAAAAGGATGACGGAGTTGCAGTCGGGTGAAAATGCCCCCACTGTGTTTAGTGATATGGTGGATACTTCATTTTTCAGCCTCTGATATAGAAGTATATGCAGCTTTAAGCTACTTCCCAAAGATTTTGGGAAAAAGGAAGGCTCGGGAATTGGTAAGACCTCATGCTATGGAGCTCTCTTTCTGCTGGCAATTTGCAATTGTTTTGATGAAATGTATGCCTCGTGATAGGTCGTTGAAGTTAGGGGGGTGTGTAATATAACTGCGCGGTTCTGGTTGTTGCCATGGACTAATGTTGATGTTTCGCAAGTTCCTAAGAGGGAGTGGATGTCATTGAATTTTCCTTGGTACTTTCCCACATTGAATTGGTGAACAAGATATCCTGTGCAGGGTATGCAGCTCCATTGTTTGTTTATCGAAACGTACCACCTAGACCGAATATCTAGGTACATATTTCAGGTTTTGATATCCTTCCAGCCCCATCAGCTATATCTGTGTACTGGGTTAGTATTTGATTATTCCTCCCATCTCGAATACACCACACCGATGCCGGCTTTGCGATAACTAGCGGCAGGACGAGTGGACGAGTTGGGATGTGACGTAGCGATTTAGAATACCGGATATCTGGCTATTTCCACACGCTTCTTCAAGAACGTCAAGCCTGAATTGGCATGGAAAAATGAAAGGTAACATGATGCCGCAGCAGATACTGCATGGGACAGAAAGAAGCATAATGGTGCGTAGGACGACTTGTTTGTGTACAGTGTTGTTTGATGTTGCTTGTTTGTTTTTTGTACTTTATTCCATGCGCGTCATCAGTGGAAGATAGTTGAGCCGCAGATGGCCGAGCAGGTCACATGATCTGCTGCGGAACCTGCTGAGTCATCGTTTTAGATTCATGATAGTAGTCAAAGCCTCATATCGTTCCCAAAGAGGCAAATTGCCAATTGCCACTACTGCCATTATCCGATGTGAATGGCCAAGTGGGATACGCATAGCGGAAACTTCATCATCTCATCTGCATCTTCTTCATCTTCAACCAAACTGGCCCAACATCAGCTTCCATCCGGATATCCCGTCGTTAAGACGGGCGCTGCAAACATCTGTTGGAACCTCTGCGTGGCTGGCGTGTTTGGTTTGCAAGCTAACCCAACAGGCCAAGTTTTTGCTTCCTTGCTTCCGAGCTCCACCTTGCCAATAACAACGAGCTTCTGTTTCTGCTGCCAATGCAGCTAAGAGCTAGCCGCGGGTGTTTGTCTCTCCTTTGTACTTCTCGACCAGAACCTCATCCCCTCCTGCACCTACGCCGCGGGGGAAGCACACATCCGTAACCAGGCCATTGTCTCCGAAGTTTTCCGTCTCGTTTGAAAATACACCAATGTCCGCCTCAGTGGCTCAACGTGTCCACGGATCTTGAATCCCCACACTCCCGCTTGCTTTGTTCCCTGGCGATCCAACGATCCAGAAACCTGCTTTTGCAGCTCATTGGGTTACTGTCGTTGGTGGTGAACAAACATGGCTGAGTAAGATTCTTCCACAACTCCACATAGATATATAGTGATGGAAGGCTGCTATCTGCTGAGGGAAAACCAGCCTGTAGTCGGCTTTTCCTTATTCAACGATTGATTGATTGGTTTGATCCATTGCTAATAAAAATGGGCATCAGATTAATTTCCATCCACGGATGGGGCTACCCGACCCTCCGGGCATCCTCCACGTCATCCGACCCCGTGCAGAAGCTACGCCCGAATTCCTCTGATGTCAGATCTATTTCGCCAAACAGGAGAATCCCAAAGTCCAAGTCGAACAATGCCCTGGCTGATATGATAGCCGGTTCAGGCACTTCTGGTATCTCCCGTGCTGCCCTTGAAGACCCCTCCGAACATTCCCTCTCCACACTGCGCGACCCTCGAGTTTCTAGCACATCGGACTTATCGACTTCGGCCTCGTCCCCACACCACCCCGACCTAAGCAGCGAGGTCGCAAATCTTAGCGACAAGCTTATCCAGGCCATTAATTACCAGACAGTCTTGGACGATACTCTGGCGGCCACACGCCAGGAGTTGGAGCAGGCGCATATGAGAGTTGGACAACTGGAGAAGCAAACCCGTCAATATGAAGAAGATATCACTAATGGGGTCCTAATAAGGAGGGTGGATGTGGACAAGGAGTGGACAAAGCTGAAGGATGAGGCAGCTGAACAAAGATCTCGACGTGCAACTATTGAAAAGGAGAAGAAAGCTATCGAACTGGAACTCGAAAATCTAACCGCAGCGTTATTTGAGGAAGCTAATAAGGTGGGACTTATACTTCCCGGACGGATTATGATTTCCTATGACTCTTATCTAACTGTGTATTGTAGATGGTAGCCGCCGCACAATTGGAACGAAAGAATGTCGAACGGCGAAATGAACAGCTTCGAGCGCAAATTCAAGACAATGAAATGCTTCTTGCCTCCCAGCAGGAGCAACTGAGCGAGTTAAAGACGGTCATACAGAACATGAATACGGATCAGGATGAAATTCGTAGTCGGACGGATGCATCCACCACGCCTTCTTCTCCAGGTGGAACGCACCAGCCTATTAGTACCATAGATCGCCTTCTGGAGGCGATGAACCTTTATCCTACCACACCTGGCTCTGGAGAAATCTCGCCCGGCCCCTCAACAAGTTTCTCACATTTAATAAAATCTGTCTGTCGGACTGATATTCAAGCCTTTGAGGATTTCCGCGCAATGCTACAACTTGCTAAAACCTCCAAGCCGCCAAGTAGAGTTGGGAGTGGATCGTATGGTGGATTGAATGTAATGGGATTCGGCAATTTCACAGGCAACAAGGAAAGTCAACACAAACACTCATATTCTAATGGTTCGGCAAGGTCTTTCCCAGGCTTTCCCGGTTCGCCGGGCAGTAATTCGTCCCCTCGCGAATCACATGCAGCAGCGTTAAAGGAAAGCCGGTTCTACAAACGGGCGCTTGCGGAGGATATTGAACCAACCCTCAGATTGGATGCCGCGCCCGGAATATCGTGGTTAACCCGTCGTACTGTTCTAAGTAGCATATGTGAAGGAGCCCTTGTCGTTGAATATATACCAGCCGTTGCTGCGAAATACTCATCTCCATGTGCACTTTGTGGGGAAGCGCGAACAGGAGGAGAGAACGCCCGAACTCACCGTTTCCGTACTTCGGACAATGAAAACGCTCAACGATACCCAACGTGTACGTTATGCTTGGAAAAGCTCAGGTCTTGCTGCGATTTCGTTGGGTACTTACGACTGATCGTCGACGGCCACGTTCGCATCTTGGATGAAGAAGATGAAAAGGAAGCGTGGGAAGAGACTATCCGCCTCCGAGAGCGAATGTTCTGGGCTCGAATAGGCGGAGGAGTCGTTCCTGCTTTCCTCCAGTCGAAAAGTTCTGATAAGAACAGTGCAGCTCCCAGCATTGATTCGCCTTACCCAAAGTGTGAGAACCAAACGGAGCCCTTGGAAAGTCCGTTTACACCTGATCTAAATCGAATCCCGAAAAACGGTGCTTCCCAAGTAGAAGTCAGTGAATTTCCTGAAACCCAAGAGCACGAAACCGCCGAGGCCGTCGACTCCGGAGTTGAAATTAGCCTAACAAAAAGCTCAATTGATGCCAACGAAAATCAACCCCTAGACCGTCAAAACAACTCTTTGAACGAACCACCAGCGCAAGCTACAGCTGAGACAGAGATTCCTCAACAGCATGCGTCAGATTCCCTGAGACCAGTGACACCGTCGAGACCTAGTGCGGGAACTGATCCACAATTAAAGGTTACGTTCCCTAGCACAGCCGAGCTTTGAGCATGATACCTGTCTATGTCATTAGCTCTAGAGTGCAGATTTACAGAATTTTACCCCGATTAACCCAAACTCCCCACAATTTCTTCTTGCTACCGTGTCTTTGTAACGGCAAGTGTCGGATTCCGTTTGACGTATACGTCACCTGGTTGGATGTATATCTTCCATTCTTTGGGCGCAGGGCGCCTGTACCATTACCTGCATAAATATTATATATACTTGTTAACCTCGGGTTTTTCCGTCCGCCTCGACACGCCGCAGCCTCTTATCTTGCCCTCGCTATCGGCCTTGTACCATCCTCCGACGGGTCCACCAAACAACATTACTCTTCCCTTACCTGATTACCTTCTCGCTATCTGCGTTTCTCCTACCAATTTCTCCAGTGTCCTTTTTCAGTTCCCATTTTTTCGCAATATGATAGAAATCTATATACGCCATTTTCCAACCATGTCAATCAGATCCAAAAAAGTTTTAGGCAGACGTTCGTGATCTCGATATTTTACTTTCTTTTGATATAGGACACCAACTACGGCCACGTATTTCCTGAGCCACAGCTTCGTGTGCCCTTTTCTCCAGGATCACTCGCCATACGCCTGCCTCACCATTTACTTTCCACACTTTGGTTTTATTCGCGCGTGAAGCTCACCATCCTTTTGTGGCTACGCTTCACCTATGCATACGCCTCCTATTATCCCCACCGATCGCAGTTTGCTCTTCTCGATTTGATGTGATTTGCGGACCAAGACTGGCCGATATGGGATAGGAAAGTGCGGGTAATTGTCCTCGATTAACTCCATCCATAAGCGGACTCTTTCGTATTCACACGGCCCTTGCTCTTACTACTTTATTCTTTTTCTTCTACCCCCTACTCATTGTCAAGATACAATTTTTTAGTCCCTTTCTACTACAACGAATCATTTTTTGTCCGTCCTATCCCTATGGCGTATAGAGGTTTAGCCCGGTTGTATTTCTTTGTCTGGCCTTGTTCCTTGGTTGTTATTTAAAGTGCTATGACGTTGTTGATATCAGGGCGCTTGTACCTCCTTTTGTTTTTCTAGTTTCGTCCTTGTTTTGTTTCGCTGGATATCCTTTTCCGATTTTCCGACTTTTTATTATTATGGTTTAGGAACAGGGTTAATCGCGTTATTGGGGTGAGATTAGCATGTCTTCTGCACTTGATTTTTCACTTTTGTTTTCTTATTTGGTTTCACCGGAGGGCCTCGAGCTTGTTTTTGAGTTGGTTCTTTCCATAGAGATTAGAGATGTGGATTGATGGATTGATACTGTGTGGTAGGGATGCATGAAGTAGGACAGGAACCGCTATATTTCATAAGAGAATATTTGATCATCACGTTTATTTTTGCCTTGGCCTCTTCTCTTAGTCGGTAGCTTGAGAATCTATTTTTCTCTCCCGCAGTGGCCCTTGTGTTGTAGAAGATATAAGGATAAGGACGAAGCTAAGTTGTACAGTTTTATTTGGAGGTGGATGTATCCAATCCCTTCATAAACGGTGGAGGTAATTCCCTAATTATACCTAGTAGTTTACCTCCCCTAGCATATAGTAGATGGAATAATACAATGATGCAATAAAATTAAAAAAGAAAAAAAGAAAAAAAAAAAAAAAAAAAAAGAAACTCCAGCCCAGAAACGCAGGGTAGAATATAATAGAACAAACACAGCTAACCATGTGAAAAAGAACACCCTCCCCCCCAAAAATTATTTTGTATCCATTCTCCTCATTTTCCCATAATCTGTTAGATAGTTCACTGCTTAAACTTCTGATGAATATGTCTGATCTGCTCCTCGATATTAACACTCTGCCCGGGCGGCGGCGGGCCGCCAGGCGGTGGATGACCAGGGATATGCGGGCCCTGGGGTTGCCCAGGTCGGTCCGGTGGGTGACTTTGACCCGGAGCGAGCTCATAACCAGGCATACCCAGTGGCATACCACCAATCCCCATACCCGTCGCAGCGCGCTTACGTCTCCCTTCCTCCTCTGGATCGAGCGAGCCGCTACCATCACCCTCCTGGGCGCCATCAGTGGTGACTCCTGGACTCTCAACTGCGCTAAGGGAAGGATCGAACACGTCCGTTCGCTGACTAGCCAGGCGCTTGAGGTTATTGAAAACGTCCGCAGTGGAGAGATTTGTAGTTGCGTAGCGGGCTTCCGCCTTTGCGCGTTGCTCCTTCCAACGAGGGTCCTGTAGCTCAATGCGCATGTGATGGTCGATTTCGTTGACGGGGATTTGCTGCCTGCAGTTGGGGCAGAGCGTTGTTGGGGTGGCAGTAGTGTTGAGGCGTTTGGCTTGGGCGCGAGGCACGTAGTCGGAACGAATACGCATAGGTTGGGTGGAGCCTGGTGGTGGAGTGGGTACGGCGCGTGCGGCGGCCTGCGCTGCCTGTGCCCGTTGGCGCTCTTGTTGACGTTCACGGATGCGGTCTTCTTCTTCAGAGACTACAGGTGCGGTCATTGGAGTTGTTGGGGTCGAGATAGGTGTGGGGGATTGCGGGGTGAATGGGGATGGCTGTTGCGCTTGGAAGTCTGAGGTAGGGGCAGGCATGGCGGGCTGTAGGGTTGGGGAGGAGACGCCTTGCGGGGGTGGATAGGCATTGTAGTAGGTTGTTTCTTCGTCAGTGGGCATGGCTTCTTCGATACGTCTGTCGTGAGGTTGTAGAGACATCATTGCCTTTTGTTCTAGAGAGGCGGTCTGGAGATCGTTTAATGATGTAGGGGGTGGGAGCTCGGCCTGGTCGTCCGCTTCCGTGAACAGAACCGTTTCCACTACCACGAAATCATGCCAATCAATCTGTGCGTATGCGATACGTTCTTGTTCATCTTGCTCCTCCTTCTTTTGCTTCTGTTGTTCCTGGAATTTGACCCACTCTGAACGCTGTTTTGCACGATCTAGGATGTGATACTTGTCCTTCACATTTTTCTCTAGCTCCACTATTCGACTCGACGTTGAATTGGGGCCATCGGATTCGTCTACTTGAAGAAGGGATGTGTATTGGTCGACAAGCCGAGTGAAAAACTGGTAGAGGCTGTGCTGCGGCCGAAGGAAGTCAAACTGGAAGTTTCTCGTTTCGCGCTGGGACAGGGCGGTCATGAACGATTTCCCTCGCTTGGCGACAAACAGGGCAGTCAGTTTGACTACTTCTAGATCCAGAGCATTGATATTCGGCATACGCGCAGAGTAATGAAATTCTGGGGGCTGAGCAGGGCCTTTTGGTTTCTCGGGCTCTGTTGCTGCCACCGGTTCCCCAGCTCGGCCAGCAGAAACCGCAGTCCCCCTACCAGCCTTGATTTCGCTGAGGCGCCATGAGTAAAATGCGGCATATGCATCGCTCGGATTTAAAAAGGAGAATTTCGGATTAGATCTTTCTTTTTCGCGGACTCGGTCTGATAACGCATTGAGACAGGAATCAGCAGCTAGTTGCAGAGCAGCAGTCGGAACCCGATGAGGAGCCTACCTTCAAAAACAGGACCGTTACGCGCCACGAACCCGGCAGTCTTCTCAATAATAGCTAAAAAAAATAATATTATCAGCCACAAGATCCATCTCACAGAGGGTTGGTTGACACTATAGCTCAGGAAGAACTAACTTCTAATATCTTTAGGCGGCAGAACAATGCCCTCGGGAGGTTTGCTCACTTCCTCGGGTAAGCCTGGCGGCGTCGTAGCGGCTCCATTTGTAGCAGACGGAGTCATGACGGGCGGTATGGCTGTTGCTGGCAGAGAGATGTCTGTCAAGCGCGGGTTCGATGCGGCGAGGGATATATAATATATATATATAGCTTATGTAGCGCCTTGATGGCATTGCCCTAGCGATCGCTCCGCCTGCACGTGATCTCTCATGTTATATAACGTAGCTAGCTGCTCCCATAATAATAGAAGGATCAACCTTTCCCACTTACAGGTTATGGCCCGGAACGTTCGCGTTTTTCTTTTAATAAGACCCCTTATACGCGTTTTTATAGAAGGATTACACTGTAGTCAATTGCCCGCAGATTGGTTCACTTTTCTAGGTTGATTTGAATAGGAGACGCCCTCAGTACCCAGAACAAGCAGACGCGTCTAGGGATTAAGAGGCTGCGTTCTTTCTTCAAGTCAACAACTGGATGAGATTGATCTCGTCTGAATCTCTTTCCTTATATCTATACACAGGTCGTGACGACCGATGAGTAGCTTGCCTACTCCCCAGAGCGGTAGAAAGAAGACTCTACGCTTCCATTCTCGTACTCAGGCAGCCCAACAGGCCCCTATTGACGAAGAATCAGATGAAGGTGACATTACCCAGTACGCGGAAGCCACAGAGGGAGCCATGGAGTCATCCGCTAGTCAAGACGCGGACACTCATCATGAATCCGATGATGGAACCCCAAGCCCAAGTGCTACGCGTACAGCACTCACAGGAGCGCGTCCTGCCGGCAGTTCTATGCCTAGAATGGGTCAAGATGGCATGATATCCATGTCATTAGATGACCTTATGGCGTTCTGCGATAGGATGAGCACGCGTCGGGAGGTCACCCCTGCTGTGGACGATTTCAAATCTCAGATCCGCGAATATCAAAAAGATGTCCAAAAAGCCATGGATACTAAGGCTGTAACCATGTTTGACGGCACCAATTACCAGGCCTGGCGTACAGGAATCCTTGCGGACGCCGAAGTTGTCAGCGGATCTGACATTCTTATGAAGAACCAATGTGTCTGTCCAGATGACATCAGTCAAGACGCGTTAAGTGCTGAAAAATGAAGCATTCGCACCAAAGCACTGTATCGATGTATGTTGCAGTCCTTATTAGGACCCGTACGTACAACCATTGGAACCCTTGAGCCAGATAATGCAGCCGCGTTATGAGAAAGGATTGGAGTTGAGTACGCTGTCTCACTTGCGGAAGAACGTATGAATATCATAAAAGAATTGGCCACCTTACATGTCAAGGAAAATGATTACCTAGCGTTTCAGAGAAGATTCCGTTATTTGATTGCATGTCACAAGGAGTTAGCGAGCGACCCAGAAGACTTCTATCATGATCTCTTCCTTGTTGGTTTAAAAGATCATCAAAAGCCTTTCATCAAGACGCGTTTGGATGATTTCTACGCGACTGGCCAAGACCCTATTCACAATATTGATATTGAAGATCTCATGAAACAGTTGACAAATCGTACAAGCAAGTCTAAGGATGAACGTCCCAAGCCGCAGTGAGCCAACGCAGCCACCACGACCTCTACTATGTCGTTCACTGGCAGCTTCAAGTGCGACATATGCAGCACAAACTGGCACTTAAAGGACACTTGCTGGCGTCTACACCCCGAACTCGCTACTGAACAGTGGTGTGAGTCAAACAAGGACTGTATCATTACACCCGAAGGGAATGATAGTAGCAATACCAGTGGATGCGGCAAGCGGAGGGGTAAGAAGAAGGATAAGGACAAGGATGATAAAAAAGATGAATCTTCTGACCTCCTAGCCTCTCAACCCGCCGCAGCCAATGCTGCGATTGCTTTTTCAGTGACTGTCAGCACTACATCCAAGCCTTGGTTTCTTGATATGTGTGCAAGCTTCAACATGACAGGGGAAAAGCAGTCCCTTATTCAATGTAAGGCTTACATTGGTGACCTCAAGGTTAACACTGCGGACGGAGGCCACGGCCACGTCAAGGAAATCAGCGATCTCCTCTTAGAATCTGAAGGAGGGGATATTACGATCCGCGATGTTCACTGGATCCCCAATCTCACAGTCAACCTGTTGTCATTCGCCAAGCTTGAAGACCAGGGCATTCGATTCGAATTGTCATCGTCCGCCCCATCTTACTTCCTCATGAGAGCTTCAAATGGTGTTACTTTCACCGCGATTCACACGCCCCAGAGCTCCATATATAAGATTGTTGAAAGAATGTCGGAAGTTGACATTCATCATGAGTCAAGGGCGGTATATTACACCGCGAAATCATATGCATATGCGAATGCTGTAACTACTGCTGACAACAACAATTCCACTAACGATAATCAGACTCGACCCCCCACAATTGCTAAAACACTCGCCGAATGGCATGCAGACTTAGGTTATATACACGCAGGAGCCATCATTGCGTTGGTGAAGAATCCATTGTCAGGTGTCTGAATCAAGGGCCTCAAGACTGGTTTTTTCTGTGACAGTTGTGTGAAAGGGGGTATGACACGTTGTTTTTCTCAGACCCCCATGCCACAAGTGACCCGACCCATGCAACGTATTCATATTGATCTTGTGGGTGGCGGGCGCACGTTAAATGAGATGTCCGATCACCCTGTCAAGTCGCGCCAGGGAACTAAATACTACATGTTGATTACAGACGACGCGATGAGGTATAGATGGGTCTATTTCATGCAAAGCAAAGATCAAGCTTATGACTATTATGCTCATTGGGCTCAATTTACAAAGAATTTGGGGTTTACAGCGCCTGCGTATGTTAGGACTGACATTGATGGGGTGTTCAGGTCTGCAAAGATCGCCGCGTTGTTCAGTAACCACGGTACAATTTGAGAGCTGACGACTCCCCATTCTCCACACCAAGATGGCGTCTCTGAATGCGGGATCCGCACGATCATGGCGCGTACGAGGGCGGTCATCATTGGCAAGGACATCTCTAAGAAATTTTGAGCGGATGTATTGGACACTGTCATTGCAATAACTAACAACACGCCTACATCTACTATACTATACAATGAGAAGTATTGGCCTACAGTTGCGGAAGACAAGGAACCCGCCCGCAGCCCTCATACAATTCCTTTTTCGGCCCTGATGAATGCCCCACCGCAGATCTCACATTTCCGCGAGCTTGAGTCGGATGTCTACGCTCACCTTCATGGATCGCAGAAGCCAGCGGACAAACTGTCTGCTCAGGCCGATCTATATAAACTTATTGGATTCCGCGGACGCGCGATCTACCGCGTGTGGAGTCCTATGTCAGATAAGCTCATTGATACGAGTGATGTGGTTTTCCCTGCAAAAGCACAAGAAATGCCAAAGGATGTGACCACCACTATGACTGCGGAAGCTAGCACTGACCCAACCACTGCCACCTATATGGTGGAGGATTTCGACACTCCTGATTTTTCAGAACCACATGTTCCATGGATGCGACCTGCAAAGGCCTTTATGGCTTACACCCCTTCACTGATTACTGATGACTTGCCAAAGAGCTTTAAGGATGCGGTAGGCTGACCAGGGGGTATAGGAGAATGGTGAAGGCGTTCGATGCAACGCGAAATAACCGATTTAGAGAGGTGAAAGACCTGGACACTTGTGCCGCGTTCTGATGTTCCTGCTGATGAACCCGTGGCTCCCGGCCGCTGGGTATTCATAGAGAAGGATTGCTCTGAGGACCCCAATGCTGATAAAGACAGCATATTGCGAAAGTCCAGATGAGTAGTCTGCAGCAATTGGCTTAAGAAAAGCCCAAGAGAGGAAACATATGCCCCTGTTGTGATGGACACAACGAATCGCATGATGTTTGCCATTGCGGCGAAACGCGGATGGACTCTGTGTCAAGTTGATATCATACTTGCCTACCTACACGGACAGCTAGGGAAGACAGTTTACATGCACCAACCCACTGGTTTCGAAGCGGGCACTCCACGCGTGATGGTGTGTGCTGTTGAGGGATCTCTATACAGCTTGAACCCTGCGGCAAAAATCTGGTATGATTACCTCACAACCCTGCTGCGGGAACATGGATTCACCCCCAGCCCATATGACCCTGGCCTCTGGCGACATGACACGCGGAAGAATCTATATATGACAATCTATGTCGATGATCTTCATATTATAGCTGAGCAGCCTGTGAACACTGATTGGTTGGTGAACATGCTGGGTGAAAAGCTTGAGGTTAAAGATCTCAAGGAACCTAAAAGGTATCTGGGTATGAAAGTCAGTCGTATGAAGGATGGGGTCAAATTGACACTTGAACGATATATCACATGCTTGGTGCAAGATTTTCACCTTGATGATGCAGTTACTGTTCGCTCGCCCATGGATGAAGACTTACGCCTAGATGACTCCCCCGTGTCAGAGAAGGAAAGCGGATTCACAAAGACTCAATATCAACATGGAGTCGGCTGCCTGCAGTATTTGGCAGTCAAATTACATCCGGACATTGCCCGCGCGGCATCCCTTCTAGCACAGAAGAACTCAGCTCCCACGCCGAAAGCATGGAAAGCTCTACTACATGTCATACACTACCTCCACAGCACTAAGGATCTGGGAATATTTTACAAGGGTCCGGACAATGGCATGAGTGGCTTGCTGAATGCGACATATGCGCCAGTTGGATACACAGATTCTGACTGGGCCGGCCCCCTCAATGGCGATCGGAAGTCTACATCCGGGTTCATCTTTAAAGTTGCGGGTGCCCCTATATCATGGCGATCCGCAAAGCAGCCCTGCGTGTCTCTCAGCTCAAATGAAGCTGAGTATGTGGCTCTTAGTGAGGCAGTGCGTGAGGCAACGTGGTTGCGGAATATAATGATGGACTTGTTATTCATTCCAAACAACCCAATCAAGATTTATGCTGATAATAAGGGTTCAATTGATCTGGCCACTGTGGCAGCGGTGACCGCGCGCAGCAAGCATATTGATACACGATTTCATTTCTCGCGTACACAGCTGAATGAGGGGGTTATATCTTTGGAGTACATCCCAACTGAGGAAATGGCAGCAGATGGATTGACCAAACCTTTAGACACTATTGCATTTCAGCGATTCCTTGATTTGTTAAGCCTTACAGGCGGAAAGGGCCAGAATGCCCGAAATTAATGTATGTAGCATGATTTGAAGGAACTCAGGGACTGCATGGCAGGCTTTTCTATATAATGTGGTGTTAAGATCTCGCACGGCGATGCGAGGGGGGGTGTAGCGCCTTGATGGCATTGCCCTAGCGATCGCTCCGCCTGCACGTGATCTCTCATGTTATATAACGTAGCTAGCTGCTCCCATAATAATAGAAGGATCAACCTTTCCCACTTACAGCTTAAGATCAACCTGGAGGCTCTACTCACGTGATTTAGACAATGATCTAGTCTCAAATAGGCAGTTCGGGGCATCTGCCCCGAGTCGTGTTTATGGTCAACAACGCAAATAGAAGGGTAGAAGGGTGGAAGAGTATAAATGAAATGAATTCTGAAGCGTAGATATGTATTGTAGGGTTCTTTCCAATGCCACCATAGGCACCGTTGAACGGCTCTGCGTGTGTCCTGTAACTTTTTGATAATTCGGAGCTCCGCGCTTAACAAGTTATTTATTTAGCGGCAAAACGCTAACGGGAAACTACCTGGCCTCAACTCTCAAGCACAAGGCAAGGCCGCAACTCCTGAATTTCCCCATCCTGTCCAACAACCTGGACAAGACGTTTTGCTTCACTTTTCTTTCTATGGGATGTAGGACACTCCCACCTTTTTTCATACTCTCGTTAATTAATTAATTATTTCTGTGGTGAATGCTCCTCTCCTCGCGCGCGCATCCTGTTCCTCTATCCTCATCCTCTCCATGATCCCAGCCTCGCGTTTTAATACTCATTCCTTTTTTTCCCTCATTGTTTTACTATAAGTTCCCTGAAAGAAAAGCGATCATCATATAGCTATTAATCTCTTTTCTCTTCTTTTCCTTCCGAAACATGGCCTCCAAGTCTGCCAAAGGCGGGCTGGAGGTGAAACCCCACACCCGCAATGGCCGCTCCCCATCCCGGTCCCCCGGCCCCAAGAACCGGAAAAAGGCAGTGGCATCGAAGAAGCTTGACTACAGTTCTGAAGGAGTTTCCGATTATGATATACTTCAGTTGCCAGTTTCGGATTACAAAATCATGTTAATGTTAACGGCTATTGCCGTCGTAGTCCGTCTGTTCAGGATCTACCAGCCAACAAGTGTGGTATTCGATGAAGTGCAGTTCGTTCCCCCCTACCTCCGCGTCGATTATCAATTGAAGCAAATGCTAAAAGTTAATTTAATGTCTCATTCAGCTTCGGCGGATTTGCAACCAAATATATCAAGGGGAAGTTCTTCATGGACGTACATCCCCCGCTTGCGAAAATGCTAATTGCTCTTGTCGGATACTTGGCTGGGTTTCGCGGAGACTTCGACTTCAAGGAGATTGGAAAAGACTACTTGGAGCCACGCGTTCCCTATGTAGCTATGCGCATGCTGCCAGCAATACTGGGTATTATGTCTATCCC